TGAAATTTTGTGAGTATATTCAGTAGGTCTGAGAATAGGGTTTAAACTATTTTTCATACCCCTAGATCCAAACTGAGGAGGTGCTCAAACGGGGATTTTGAGATTTACGGTAGAAATTTTCGTTTATAAATGGTTGCTGCCTATGGGTATTAAAACTATTATAATAATTATTATTGGTTGCCATTGGTTGATCGTTAATTAAACTATTATTATTATTAATAACGTATCAGTATTAGTATTTTATTGGTAAATTGGTTTACAGTGGTGTATTGGCGTACGCAGAAGTAGGGTTCTAGGGTTCTGAACCCTTCCCTGAAATTTCTTTTTCAAAAAAAAATCTTATTTACTTATTTTGATACACACAGATCAATTGTTGGTCACTTTTAGTAGATATAAAATAAATTGTTGAATATGACAAACCCGTCGATAATCATAGTTTCTGTTTTTTTTTTTTTTTTTTGGCTGATTTAGAACATTACTAATAATAACGTCTGCCATAATCGATGGTGTATATCATCGTCCATCAATGATTAACACGTTTATTACGGCCCGAGGAGGGCGCTATAGTTGATTACCAGGTTAAACACTGTAAATATAGACAAAATTTGAGACTATAACTTATATATGATTAGTTCTATAAAAACAGTTAAGTAAACAGTGGTGGCAGAGAGGCAATCAACCCCTCAGACATAATCCAAGGGGGGGCAAAAGTATACTTTTGCCCCCCCCCCATTACTACATCAAAATTAAAGGGTATACAATCGTAAATTACGTTTAATTTATACGTTTACTTATTCAAAATTGGTCTCATTTTCATGAATGTATGAATGTGCGTAGGTACCTAATAAGTAATATTATAATTATTATTATCGATTTATTATTTATTATTAGGTAAAACATATTGAGTAATTTTTATTTATATTATATTGTTACGTTACAATATAACTTAAAGTATATAGTAGTCAGTAGATACATTTTAGATACTGAGTGGAACGATGAATGTATTATTGATTTTACAATGATGTGTGTTTTTTTTATTTTTTTGGTGTCTGTCATCACGTTTTAGGACAGTAAAAGTGCTTGGATTTTCTTCGACAGTAGCTTTTCTGATAGGAAAGTGAATCTAGTTGGTACTTTGGGGGGTAAAAGTAAAAATTGCCTAGTAGTTTTTAAAAGCGCCGTGAAAAACAAAAGAAAAATTAAGGAAAAACGGGAATTTTTACGCAAAATCTGTTTTTGAGAAAATCGATTTTGGTTTTTGGTGTAACTTTAAAACAAATGACCGTAGATAAGTGAAATTTTCACTGGTTGTTTATATTTGCATGTTCTATACACGATAACATTTTCAAAATATTTTGATTTATTTTGAACTGTTTAGGGACATTTTCATTTTCCATTTTTTTATAGTTTTTTTTCTAAAAATATCAATACAATTTTATTTGTTGGTTAAAAAAGCTTGAAAATGTAAAAGAAGGCTCCTAGATATTATATCAAAGGTATTGACAAATATTAAAAATCCTTAGTCACAGTTTTTTTTTATAAGCATTTAAAGTTCAAAAATTGACAGTTCCATTGAATATGGAAAAATCACGAAAATTAGCAAATTATTTTGAGTTAAGAATTCGTAAAAATTTTTCTTTTTAAATCTAAGATTTGAAAATGTAATACAAGATTCCTTATAAAATTATTTACCTTTATCAAAAAAAAAAAATGTCTATAAGAATGTCAAATTAAATTTTTATGAGCGTTTGAAATTCAAATTTTTACAACATTGGACATTCACTCGATTTCTCTTGTAGCGATTTCCTTATTTTGTTGTAATTCAAAAACGAATAATTAGCATTTCCTATACACCATACAATTTTGAAAATATTTTGACTCTTTTTGAGCTGTTTACAGACATTTACAGCTTTCAATTTTTTTTAGTTTTTTTTTTTTATAGGTATCAATAAAGTTTTATCTGTTGGGCCGAAAAGTGTAAAAATGTAATATAATGCTGATATATTGTTACAATAGCAGTTGAAAAATATTAAAAATACATAGGCACAGTTTTTTTCTTATAAGCATTTAAAGATCAAATTTTGACAAAATGTATCAAATTTAAAATTGAATAATTATTTTGTAGTTAAAAATTTATAAAATGTTCAACTTTTATATCTAAGGATTGAAAATTTAAAACAAGATTCCACGTAAGTATTTAATTCTGTTACCAAAAATTCTAAAAAATACAGAAGCACAGTTTATTTTTATAGTCATTTTAAGTTCAAATTTGGACGTAAATACATAATAAAAAACCTAGAATAACTATTTTAGTTATTTTGTTGTGATTGTGTAATATTATTCGTGGGTAGGTACTTGAAAATTCTAAAGTACACTATTATATATCTATTGAGTATGGACTATGATGGTATCAGAGTTTGTTGTTGACGTATAACGCATTTTAAGTACCTAATATGGATATTGTGATATGATTAATTTGGAATTTATTATAGGAACCTATTTTAGGTAAATTTTTTTTAATACGATAGATAAGTTTATAATATGTCTTATACCTAGACTGATATACCGTCTCCGATCAGAATCATTTTTCTTATACAATGATGATATTATATCATTGAATTTAAACTTAATACCATCCATTATACAGTGACTCACTTCACACTTGTAACCTATACAGTACAGCAGATCACCTTTTTTTATATTTAATTAATTAATATTTATTTATATATTGTTACATTTTAATATAAATTCAGGTATACAGTAAATATGTTTTATGTTTCGTTTCAATATATAAATGTATAAATATAATGTATTTACTATTTATATTATACTATAATTATATCAATACATTTATATAATTATTTTATTATAATAAACTACCTATATCAACATTAAAAGAATAAAATATTAAGAAAGGTTTTCTGTTATATCTATAGATCCACAAATAAATATATTATATTTTTTGGATGTTTTATGTTTTGCCACAACCCCTCATGAAAAATAGTTCCTGCTCCACTGTGAGTAAAAAATAATGCAAGTTATTTACTCAGATAAAATCCTAACCGAACTAAAATCCTGCGTACGTTGGTTTACCAAGCGTGCATTAAATCGGATTGTCGCTTTACTTATAGCCGCTCATCGATGGTGTCAGCTATATTGATATGTTGTCGCACCATGATTAAAGGTATATCTTTAATCGTGTCTCGCACATTGTCCGCGATCCGACGTAGTAGGATTGCCTACCAGGGTCTCTGAATTGCAATTACTGCTGCGAGTTACATCCAAAAAGATTTTAACAACCACAATTTTTTAAAGAGTTGTCATTTTGTATGAGCAACGAAGTACGCTGGATCAGCCAGGAGTATAATTATACTAATAGTATAATAGTATATTAATACCATATAATTTATATGGCAAAAAAACGTTTGCCGGGTCAGCTATAGTATAACTATTAACTATATATAAAAGATAAAACTATATTACATAATATATGACTATAATAATATGCTTACACTCGGGTGTCGGGTGATGAACGTTAATGTAAACTAACTCAAAAGTCAAAATGCATCACTTTCATAACCCACAGGTACAAATGGGTATAGGTACTAGCATTAATTATTTTTATTATTAGTACTAGGTACAATAGGTATGTTAAAGTAGTTCATAGAGTGAAATACGTTAGGGCTCATACAAATTACCAATGTACTACCATTACCTTTATAATGTGTAAAAAATATTTATTTAATGTTAAAGCAAAATCACCCATTTTTATAAATTTATAAGAAAAAAAAGATTTAGTGTGATTCAGATAATATTATACATTTTTATTAGTTTTTAACGTATTATATTGCAGTATCTATTGATTATGTCTTAAAGTTTAATATAGTTAATGTGTCTTATACTCTTATATGTGACACATAAATTGAATATGGATAGGTATAGACATTAATAATCATTAACTCGAGTTGTATAGCTTATGGTAAGTATCTACTATAATTATTGTACTAATGCACTATTACAAAATATGTATATCACCCATGTGTTCCACAAAACCTACAGTTTCACCCCCCTCCCAATGGCCTATGTTGTTGCGGGATAATTAATAAAAAAAAAATAAAAAAATATGTATATGAGGTCGATCTAAATTCTACGTATTATCAGGAAAAAAATGTAGGTAATAAATAGTTATAAATTATATAAATGCAAATGCCCAGGTCAAATTATTTGGGATCGTCATAATTTTTAAAAAAAAACTTCATGCACCGATACCAGCCAAAAAACGGAAAATTAATTTTATTTATATACTTATATATTTTTCTTAATTATTTAATTTTAGAAAAATATAAATTTTAAATTAGATAGGAATGTAGTAAAGTACCTAATTACAAAGCAGGTTTGCAATTTTTGGATACAACAACAAAGAAATGTGTGTGGTTTTGTTCTGTATTTTAAATTTATATATCTAAAATAGTGTACAGTATTTTTTATAAATTTAGATTGATAATTACGATATACCTAGTTAAATGTGTGCATTGTGGAGTCTAGACCCTAGGGACTAGGACTTATCTAGTGACTGTGACACTTGGACCTCATCATTACAATGAAAATTAAATCAGAATAATATAATTATTGACACTAACCATATTAAAAGTTATTTTTTAATGAAGTTGGGGAGTAAACTGTAAAGGCATAAATAATTCTCTACTAACTTTTAAAAATGCCGCCAGTTTAAATGTACCTAGATGTGTCAAACAAGCAGGGATCTATAAATGTCAGTGGATCTAAATGACGCAGGATCATTTTGTCTCGGGATCTGAATGACTCGGACCTGGTATCAATTCTTATCAGAATGGTTACCGGGATCTCGATGACGCGGGATCTATTTGTCAGCATACCCCGAGTGCCGACTAGAAACTAGAAAGTAGAGAGCAAGTTTGAAATTGTATTATATTGTGAATTTTTTTCTTTAAGTTGCACTTGGTTCATATCTACAAATACCAATGTCACAATTAGGAAGAGTAAAAGTGAGTGCTTTGAATCTTAATGGTTGAAATTATATCATGCTGTATAGTGTGTGTTTCTATGCAGTACAAAGCATTACATGACTATTGTGTCGATGATTATAAATTACTATTCTATAGGTACCTATTGTATTATATTTTGTGTTTTTAAATACTTGTGTATCTTCGCAGCAATGGAACACGTTTGCTCGCTGTTGGCATTTGTTTGATGCAGCTTGGCAAAATCCTTTGGAATGTTCTCCAACGATTGAAAAGTATTTAAAGGGGCTCAATAAACCAATTTATCATCCATTAGGTTAGTATTGATATTTTATGTATTAACATTCTAAAAAATGGGCTTATGTTAATTATACCATTATTAAATAATAACAAAATATACAATAGGTAGTTTTTAATATACTATTATTATTTATTACCTATATCAAAATATAATTTTATTACTTTGAAAAATGTGTAGTTTCTTACTATTTAACAAAATATTTTTATAATAATATTATAAATCATAATAAGTAATTTGAATTTACCACTTATTTTTAATTATTTTAACTAACTATTTTAACTTATTTAATTTACCATTTGAATATTATATAATTTACTTTTGAGGGACGAGGTGGCCGAGCGGTCTAAGGCGTCGGTTGCGGCTCAGCCGTCGCCGGTACAATTCCCTGCCACTGGGTGGCATTTTTCTTCGGGCAAGTCACGGTGTCCGGAGAACAAGTGCTGCTATCTCCCACCCGAGATATGGCATAAATCTACGGGTGCCCCACTAGAAATTCTGCCACAACACACACATGTGTTCCAAACCTATCCAATACAACAACTCACCGTTCCACCCCCACCCAATGTCCTATGTTGCCGCGGGTCATCTAAAAAAAATCTTCTATTTAATTTATTATTTATATTTTTTTTTTCAATTAACTAGTTTTAAATGTTTACAAATTATAGAGCTATATAAATAAAATGATCTAAAATATTTTAATTGAACAGATACCTCAAAAGAACATGATGTTTCAATGGCAGATTCTATATATTGCTGTGTATAATTTTTGTATGTGTGTTCACTGTTTCCCAGTGCTTAGGGAGAACCTAATGAATTAAATAATATAGAAATACTGTGGTTTGACTTAAATATGACATATTCAATGAAACCAACTGTGTAAGCAAACAAATCTAATGATACAAATAGGTGATGACACACTGATCATGTGAAATATATATCTGAGTAAAATATGATAGTTGACCCAGTGGTTTATTTTATTTAATAAATAATATATCTATGCCTCATAAAAGTTAAATTATTAATTAAACATAAATTATATAAAAAATAATTGTTTTAATTTTTTACTTGTAGTTGATTGCGGCGATCATGTTGTGGTTATAAACAGTAAACAAATTGCATTTCCTGGCGAGGAATGGCGTCGACGTGCTTATTTCCATCATACGGGATATTCAGGAGGAGCAACTTGGACTCCAGCTTGGGAATTACATGATAGAGATCCAACTATGGTATGATAGTAAAAGTTATTACTAAACTAATAGATTTTCATTATTGTACAATGTTATGTATTCAATTAATTTTTAAACATTTTATTCAGTTGAGAATTGCTTACATTTACTCTTTTAGATAGATAGTCAATCTTTGTGATTAAAACAAAGACAATTAGTAATTATTCATCAAGATTATAGAGTATTTAAATTAAAAGTTATTATTTAAAATGTGTTTTATAAACAAAAGTAATGTTTTTAAAATTTTAAATGATCCAGAATCTTAACTATTTTGTATTATAGCTAGGCAGCTAGCCAACAACCATATTATATTTTGGTACTTGATTTATTATATTATTTTCTATTAAGTTGTGGTTATTCTATCCAAAACTCTTATGATAAAACATTCTTTTGATATGCCTCCAAACATCTACCGATGAGCCAAGAATTCTTCAGATTTTTCGTTTATACCAAAAATTTTGTGTTGCTGTATAATTTTTTTTCCCAAATGTAGTTTTCTTGATTGAAAGAACACAAATTTTCTCGAATATATATATGATTAATCACATGTATTTAAACTTTTTTCTACCACATAATTGTGGATTCTTTTTAGTTCCAAGCAAAATATAACCTTGTCAGATAAACTAGATAAATTATTTAGGTATCTGGTATGAACCGGTAGTCCAATTAATTTTGTGATCATTGTATGTGTAACATGTGTCTTCCTATATGAATTCACAAATGTAATAATGCTGACACATGATACATGCATGGTAATTGTGATCACCGAAATATGTCAGCTGTGTTAACAGAAAAATTCCAGATAAATGTCTGTTATTTCTAGAAATAATTTACCTGACAGCAATTTGCTCTTACTATGAATCTTTTTTTTTCAAGTTAAGAGATTATAGTTCTATAACATTATTTATAACTGAGTTATTACTTTTTTTTGTTTCCCAGATTTTCAGAAAAGCTGTTTATCATCACATGAAAGGCAACTTATTCAGAAGAGTAGTTATGGAACGTTTACACATTTACTCAGACTCTAACGTACCAGAAGAGGTTATGGAGAATATTACCAACCAAATTCCACCATTAAGATCTATACCTAAAACACTGGGTTCTTATAGTAAAGAAGAAATTGAAAAATACCCAAAGATTATAGATTACCCCGAAGATTTTATTTTGTCAAAAAATTAAAACTATATATTATTTTAAATTAGACTATTATTAGTATGATGTAAAGATAAAATTAACTTTTTTTCAATTGATTATTGATTTTTTTTTTTTTTTTTTGAATAAATTCTAAAATTCTTTATTATTATAGAGCCATAAAAAGTGAGCCATCCAGTGTTTAGCTTTTTACACTAAAAATTATTTTTTATTTGATTAGGTATACAGTTAAATAGTTAATTATAAATTTCTTGTATCCAATCCGATTTGTTCACTAAATGATTTGTTAGAAAAAACAATATTTATGTTTTAACTTCTTGGAAAAGAGCTCATATATAAACTTAAAATTAGAAAACGACAACATTATACCTTGTAGGTTATTCACATAAATAGTGTTATAATATTTGCTATTCAATAGTAATACAGATTGTAATATAAAATGTTGAGCTATTATAAATGGATGGTATTGTTACGGTCTCAATTTTTGAAGTGTTAAAAAAATCTATAGATAAATCATATTTTGATTCCATTAGAACAGAACATTGTTTTTGAATGATTAATTTATTTTCTGAAACTATAGCTATATAGCTACTCGTAAAATGTTAAGTAGGCATTTGGTTTGGAATAAAATGTACTCAATTTAAACTGAATTATACTTAAATAATAATCACATATAGTAAATGGTAATGGTAGTTACAAATAATTAATAATATGTTTATATGAGCCTTTAGAACAATAGTGACAATAAGTTGTGATAATAACTACATGACAAAATATGTTACAATTACATTAACATCAACATACATCATAATGTAATTTATAAAATAAACAAAATATGATAGGGTAGTATAACAAAAAAAAAATACCATGAATAATATTTACATAAAAACTTTAGTAAGAAATATTGTGTTTGAAAATATTATAAATCTTTCTTGGCCTTAATTAAATCCAGACAAGACTGCATTGTTTCTCAAAACTTGCTCTAGTGTAAATGCCAAAAATGTGTTGATCATTAATACAGATACTGTGAGGTGCAAAAAGATTGTGGACTGCATGCGAATACGAGACGATGGCATCGTTCACCTGTTTATAATATATTCTGTCTTCCACCAAGGGTGTAGGAGCAGAATTTCTTCCACGGCCGTTTTGGTGGTTTAACGTTTTAACGTTTTGAAGGCCTTTAAAGGTACATGCTGCAATGGTCATCAAACGTAAGTTATTGACGTTGTGATAGTGGTTGAGGTCTACATAAATCTTATTTTCTGGGAAACGTTCGGTAACACTAAAAGGGGAGTTTTTGTTGGGCAACTCGTCAATAAACTTCAAAATCGCGTCACAATCGGTTTGAACGGTCATATTCTTGGTCATAATACCGCGAACCGCTCGCCTAGAGGGTCCGAGTTCGCACCAACTATGAGATTCGAAGTCCTCGGCCACAAGTGTCCATTCATAAGGCATGATTATTCTGAGTATAAACTGGGAAAATGTGAAGGGAAGATACCAATGTGAATATGTGATGGACACGAGCTATGTATAGACTGTTGAGGTAAATAATTGTAATTTCACTCTTCAACCAACGTGCGTATATTCGGTAAAAATAATATCTAAATAAAACTTTTTCAATGTGGAATTAAGTTAACTACGCGTGAAGTTACTGAAGTTACGATTTCGAGATATTGAACAATGGTAGTCGCTTCGTCGGGAGTGGTCACTGTTTTAAGTTTTTAACTGTTGAATTGTTTACTATAGCGTATAGAACTGGACGTTCGATATCGATAATCGAGATGCCGGTGTTCCGAGCAGAGGCTTCAGGCTTGAGACTGATAAATGATAATTAATGTAAAGATTGTAATGACTATAATGTTATGTACTTATGAGTGTATAAAGTATTAAGTATATAAAAATGTATATTCTATTTATAATTTATCTATAATTAAATATTAATGTAGTACTATGTACATAATGTTCAATAACTTGGAATCTACAATTTATTGAATTTGGTTCTAATATTATATTGATTTAAAATTTAGATACATTAATGTTTGTAGTTTTCAAGTAAAAAATGGTGGTTATCAATTATTATTTGAAAAGTGTATTGTGTACCTATTATATTGAAGTGTATATCGCCGAGGTACACTCCTTTAGTACCTACAAAAAATATATTAAACTTATTTACTTATTTAAATACTTTCATTATTTTATTCCAACCATTTAATTTATGAAATTATTTTTTCCCAAAATATAGTTATCTTGATCGACACAACACAAACTTCTCTCAAAAAACTATTCCAATATATTATTATAGATGTATCATATATTCATATGTATTTAAACTTTTTTCCACCATATAATTAAAAATTGTTTTTCAAACCAAAAAAAATATAATCAAAAAACTGTAGTAAATTATATTATAATACTTTTCTCAAACCAATTACCTTGTCATTACCTGCTAAGTTGTCTCCGTAACATAGCAAATAGTACGCTCAGCAGAACACGTGTAGCACTGTAGCTCCGTTAAATCAAAAAATATGTAATTTACGATAGGCATTTTTGTTTATTGATATGATTGCTATGAACTTATATAAATAAATAAACAAACGTGTTGTTTCATTTTTTGTTTCACCCACACCTCAAGAAAGAATTTTTACTAAAAAAAAAAAAGATCATTGTAAAATCAATAAGTACATTCATCGATATTCGATCCTCTCAGAATCTTAAATGGAATCTCAAAAAAGTGGGTACCACTCATCCGTATTGTAATTTGTAGTAGGTAGGTCATAGCCCCCATAGGTGCAACTAAGGACATTTTTCTGGGGGTACTAAAATTGTATTAGCAGCGCATAGACAGCGATAATTTTTATTTAAACTGAAATATGATTAAGAAACTAAGGGTGCTAAGGATAAAATGGGGTGACTAAGAGCCCCCTCCACCAGCCCCTCCCACTAATTGTGCCTAAGTGTAGAGAGATTCCACTGTTATGGATTTGTTAAATTTGAATTCAATGATATAAAATCATTGTATGAGAAAAACGATTCTGAGAGAAGACGATAGGTCTGTCAGCCAATATTACTAATTAAATATTTTATAAAAACACGTTTAAAAAAAAATTTCAAAAAATCGCTTGGGAACTGAACTGCATTTATGCCTCAAAAATATTGGATTTGAAAAGGTTATTGTGTGTTATCTACAACTGTGTTGTACTGCTGTATGTATGCAGTTTAATAATATACTTAAAACGTTTCAAAAAATAAATTAGAACAAAATAACTAAATTCGTTTAGTCAACATTTGAGGCCAAAATATCTATAAAAAACTGTTTTTATTTTGTCATGAATTTAATTGAATTAACTATTTGGCCATGCTCAATAATTATTTTTTTTTATTGGATACACTGGGGACAATGGTTTTGTATTTTGATGCAAAGTGGGCTGGCAGATTATTCCAATGGTTAGACCAAAGACTGGTGATGTGACGACTTAGTAGAGGGGAAAATCGGACCAAGGTAACTGCGCAAGAGGAGGAAGGATAGTATTGGAGGCAGCTTTGGCGAGCCCGTCAGCCGTTTTGTTTACAACAGGGGCGGATTGGCGAATTTTTTCGGCCCGGGAAATATGGATCAAACCGGCCCTGCACCGCAAATGTAACCCCCACCAAAAAAAAAAAATTTCATCATTTTACTCACATTTCATAATTTGTTTAGTTTCACAAATAAATTAGTAAAATATATAATAGGTACCTATAATTAAAGTTATAACAGTTTAGGGTTAGTCAGATAAGGTTAACCTGTTCAGACTGTTCTAACTCGAACTTGAAGTTTGATCTTATTACATTTTAGATTCTGAGCGAAGTGATGAATGTATTGATTTTACAATGATGTGTTTTTTTTAATTTTTTAATTTTAATTTAAATTTTTATTTTTGCGTCTGTCATCAAATTTTAGGACAGTAAAAATAGTAAATACTTAGATTATCTTCAACTAGATTCACTTTTCTGATAGGAAAGTTAATCTAGTTGGTACTTTGGGGGGTCAAAAATAAAAATTTCCTGGTGATTTTCAAAAGTGCCGTGAAAAACAAAAGAAAAATTAAGTAAATCGGGGAATTTTTACGCAAAATCTGTTTTCGAGAAAATCGATTTTGGTTTTTGAAGCAACTCCAAAATAAATATGACTATATAGGTACACGAAATTTTGACCGAATGTTTATATTAGTATTTTCTATACACCATAACATTTTGACTTACTTTGAGCTGTTTACGGACATTTTCAGTTTTTTTTTCTATAAATATCAATAAAATTTTATTTGTTGGTTAAAAAGCTTGAAAATGTAATAAAATTATATATTATTATATATTGTTTCAAAGGCAGATGAAAAAAATTAAAAATCCAGTCACAATTTTTTCTATAAGCATTTAAAGTTCAAATATTGACAAAATACGTAAAAATGACGAAAGTTTGCAAATTATTTTGAGTTATAAATTCGTAAACAAATTTTAAAACACATTTTTAATACAAAATTCCTCATAAGTTTGTCTACCTTTATCAAAAAAAAAAAATGTCAACAAGAAAGTCAAATTACATTTTTATGACCTTCTGAAATTCAAATTTTTACATTTGATATTCACTCGATTTCTCATGTAATGATTTTCTTATTTTGTTGTGATTAAAAAACGAATGACTGTAAAATGTAGATACACTTGAAAATTTCACTGAATATTTATATTAGCATTTTGGATACACCATACAATTTTGAAAATAATTATCTCTTTTTGATGTTTTAACGGACCATTTCCAATTTAAATTTTTTTAGTTTTTTTTTCTATAAATACCAATAAAATTGTATTTGTTGGGCCAAAAAGCCTGAAAATTGAATACAAGGCTCCTGATATATTGTTACAATATCAGTTGAAAAATATTAAATATACATAGCCATACATTTTTTTTATAAGCAATTAAAGCTCGAATTTTAACAAGATTTATCAAAATTTAATAATTATTTTGTTGTTAAAAATTTATAAAATGTTCAACATGTATAGCTATAAGGGTTGACAATTTAAAACAATTTTCCAGGTAAATAGGTTCCATTAACCGTTTTTTCTTTTTTTCTCGTATCTTTTCAGCTCCACCCTTCTTTCGTTTTTCACCAGCATCACACATAATTTAAATTGCACAGTTCAATTGAATTTGTACGCTAAACACACTTTTGTAAGTACAGTAACTCGTTTGTGTAAAAAGTTCAAAATCAAAAAAAAATACAAATAATGATAAGATAAGGTTATCAATGTTATCACGTAACTAAATTCTACCATAGAGTCAGGGTTGGGCAGTATCTTCGATACAAGTATCTAAGATACGTATCTTAGATACATTTGTATCTTGTATCTTGTATCTCGATACAATTATGTGAAGTATCGAGTATCTTGTATCGTGATACATTTTTAGTCAATGTATCGAGTATTTCATGAATTAATTTAATCGGAAGATACTCGATACATTAATGCAATACTTTGAAAAATTAATTGTTTACGATTATTTTTACTCGTCAGAAACCACTTTTGAAAAGTTAGTGGTGTAATGGTTGTATATAAAATATAATATTATGTTACACACGTACTTTGAATTGGACTTTACGTCTGTAAGACTGTACCTTATTTTTCTACTATGTAATATAGTACCTACACCTTTCGCGATAAGGTAGGTAATGAACACGATAAAATTAGTAGATTAGATTTTTACACAAACACTGCCGGCTACACACCTGGTGTTCTGCGGACTGTGAGTCACTATGTGACGATCGTTTGCCTTTATTATACTGACTCAGATTGTATGTAATATAATATTAATATGTCTGAATTAAATAATTTGTTTATTCCACTCATTTTGGATGGAAAATATTTCAAAATAAAAAAACTACCGACAATGGAAAATGAAAATATCAAAGCAGAATGTGTTCTCTGCAATGATGACAAAAAAGAATATAGCGGCACATTAAGATCCACTTCTAATTTTCGCCTTCATATCAAGGTAAATTTATTAATTATTAATATTTATTATTTATTATTTATTTATTACTTTATTAGTATTTATTAATTATTATAATGTTATTTTATATTTCAGAGAATTCACAGTAATGTTCTAGAAGAATTTGAGAATTATATTAAATCTACTGTTAACGAACGTCGTGGTACAAAAAGAAAATTAAATGATTCAAACCCAAACATGCATAAACAACAGAAATTAAATTTGTATTTTAGCGATCATCAAAAAAACGAGTCCAAACAAAAAACGTTTGATACAAATATTTTAAATTATGTCGTTTGTAGCATGAAGCCATTATCAACGGTTGAAGACGAACATTTTATAAAGATGATTAAAGGTTAGTATATTAAGGGTAATCGGAAAAAAAATCCCCAGCTACAATATTACTGACAATCACATGCAAATGGTTGAACAAATATATTTTGAACGTTAATTAGTATCTATAATTAATATTTAATGACAAATACGTATATTATATTCTATTATAATATAATATATTATATTATATTGTTAAAAAAATTATAAAAATATTTATAATGATCGATACGTCAATTAATGATACAGTACAAAAATATAAATATTATACAAAAATATTATACAAAATATAGGTACCTATATATTTTATGTAGGTAATATATTATATTATAATAGAATATAATATACGTATTTGTAATTAAATATTAATTATAGATACTAATTAACGTTTAAAAAATATTTGTTCAACCATTTGCAAGAGGTTGTGAGAAATATTGTAGTCTGGGGATTTTTTTTCCTAGGGTCGGGGATTTTTTTTTCCGGCGTTGTTCGTCGGGGGATTTTTTATTAATCCTATAACTCATAACTTTTTGTTTCTTTCTAATAATTTAATAGATATTGATGGTACTTTAAAAATATTTTCGAGAAGAACATTAAGCCGTCGCATTCTAGAAAATTACACATTTATTTGTGAAAAATTAAAAAATGTTTTTGAATCTGATCCAAGACCTAGTGTATGTACAACAGCTGATATTTGGTCAACAAAACACAAATCATTTATGGGAGTCACGGCGCATTGGGTACTTTTTATTTTTATTTTAGTATATAAACTAATACATTTACTATAATATTTTAATATATTTTAGATTGATGAAAACACTTTAACTCGTTTAAGTTGTGTATTAGCCTGCAGGCGATTTCGTGGCTCTCACACATATGACAAAATTGCTGAATTGCTACATGAAATAATATGCGAATTTTCAATTGAAAGAGAACAGCTGATTTCAACTGTTACCGACAACGGTTCAAATTTTGTAAAAGCATTTAAAGATTTTGGTTGTGTAATGGATTGGAATTTTCAAATTGATGATTTAGAATTCAATGGTATGAAAAAATATATAAATCTATACATGGTGTACCTATGGTTTTTGTTTTAATTAATTTTTTTTGAATTTGTAGATGATAGAGAAAATGCAGACGAAGAAGAATGTACTGATGACGATGTGGCTACATTTGAAAGTATCGATGTAGATGACACCATGACACAAGAAACTGAAATTTTTTTGCCTCATCATTTACGCTGTGCAAGTCACACATTGAGTCTTATTGCGACTACAGATTTTAACAAAATTCTAAAAGGGACTTCAGCATCTAGAATCAACCATTCTGTTATGGGTAAATGTACAACACTCTGGAATTTGTCACGAAGACCAAAATCTTCAGAAATCATCCATACTATATTAAATTGTTCACTGAAATATCCATGTCCTACTCGGTGGAACTCTCTTTATGACGGTATTACACAGCTTTTGAAATACAAAGATAAATTAAATTTAGTGTTAAAAGAATTAAATGTTAAGTATAGTTTCAAAGATATAGATTTTGAGTATTTAGAGGAATTAGCTGCTTTATTAAAGCCTATTGCTGGTGCCTTAGACTTTTTGCAGAGTGAGAATCAATGTTATTACGGTCAGCTTTTACCCACATTATATTCACTTAAAACTAGACTAGAAATGTTAAAAGAAAAAAATTTTCGCCATTTAGCTAATATGATAACACCATTGGTTAATTCTTTAATAAAACGATTTAGCGATTTTTTTGAATTATCTCCCAGTATAAATGAAGCTATTTTAGCAACTTGTTTTCATCCATGTTATAAATTAAGATGGATCTCTAATGAATATGACCACGAAAAAAATAGAATTCAAAACCTATGTATAAATGCTGCAGAAAATATTTTTAATAATGATATTACTAATAATTCAAATTCTAGCGATGAAGATGACGACAATTTTATTGTTTATTCATCGCAACCAGAAGCTAAAACCATTAAAAAAGCCGATCTGGAAGTAGTTACTTTTTTTAATGATAAGGCTAAATCATTAAATATTCTAAACAATTATCCAATTATAAAAAAACTTTTTATTAGATTTAATACCAGCTTATGCTCCTCAGCACCCGTAGAACGAATGTTTTCCATGGCAGGATTTATTAATAATCCTACCAGAAATAAATTATCTGATATAACCTTCGAAAAACTTGTATTTTTAAAAGGAAACAAAGATAAATTAACTATATAAATGAATGATGTTATGTTACTATTATACTATTGAAATTTTTGTATACTATTGAAATTAAATTTTTATTATACTAAAATTATTTTTATTATTTATATAATTCAATACGACAATACCAAGTAAATATAATTTTTAATGTAGAATTATTATTATTTAATTGTTATGAAATCGTATTGTGGTTATTTTTGGTAGAATCGTAGACGATAACAAGATTACGTAATGTCGTAATTGATTTATTTTATTTTGTTTTATTACTAATGTATTATTATTACTGAAAGTGTCAATGTTTTTTATTTTATTTTTCATTCTAATTACTTAATGAAGTGGCCATACCCACAATAATAAACATAATTTTTAAAAATCCAGTGACTAATTTCATTAAAATGTATTGAGTATCGAGTATCGAGTATCTTGTATCGCGATAGTCCAAAGCCAAGTATCGAGTATCTAGTATCGCGATACTCTAGAGCCAAGTATCGAGTATCTAGTATCTCGATACTCCAAATCCAGGTATCTAGTATCTAGTATCTCGATACTGATTTTTGAGTATCTTGCCCATCCCTGCATAGAGTATAAAATATAAATACTAAAATACCAATACCACAGATTTCTTTTTTTTTACATTAGCATGAATTGGAGGGATAATAGTGTAAATACCAAAATTCCTACTATGAATTGCAATAGTTTAAGATATTAAAAATAATACCTTCGTAGGTAGGTATTTGATTTTTAATATATTTTATGCTTAATTTATAAAAATTTAATTTTTTTTGTAATTATATTGTAATAATTATAGCGGCCCTGCAGGCCCTCACAAGAACCGGCCCATCGGGAAGATTCCCGATTTCCCGATAGGCCAATCCACCCCTGCCCGTGTATACCGATGTAGCTAGGGATCCATACAAATTGAATATGGTGATTGGACTGCTTGAGAGTGAATATATAAATGATTTAATTTGAAAAACAAGAGAGGATAGTTTAGAATTAAATGGATTAGATATAAGAGATTGTAGGCAGGACATAGAATCAGAAGCAATTAAATAACTATTAGGGGCTACATCTGTAATGAATAGAAGGGCTTCGAGAATAGCGTAACATTCAGCAGTGAAGGAAGAGGACGAGGGAGGGAGATTGTTGGAGAAAGAAATATGGAGTTCAGGAATATAGAAGGAATAGCCAGCTGATAGGGGAGACACTGAACCGTCGGTATAGATGATAGTGAAGTTACTAGTTAGGGTAATTTAGGTTGAGGAAATTGGAAAAAAGTTTATTAACAAAGGAAGAAGACATAGATTTAAGCTCAATGTAGGAAAAATTAGAAAAATTGTCAATTTGAACTAAGGGGGTAAAAAGGAGAGAATTATTAATTTATTAATATTAATATTATCATTACTAATATTTAACATGGTTAAAAATATACGATCACAGTCCATAGCACGGTTTAAGATATACCTACAACATTGTTCTATGCTACAACCGTGGTCCATAGTCATAGAAATATATATATATATATATATATCTGTGTATTGGCGATTGAAAGCTTATCAATTAACAGGCCGGCGAGGGGTGGATCTGGGAATTAGTAAAATAACATCTATACTATATAAAGCGTGAATACACACCACGATTAAAGATATCTTTAATCGTGATACACACCTTCCCCGCACGATTATAAAGAACTTCTTTATTTATAATCGTGCTTCCCCGATACATCTTATCATTTTCAATCGCCAATACGACGGCTTAGATCATATCAGCGACGAGTCACCGAATTTGGTGGTCGATATGCGCATGCTCAACGCGACTTCTCGCATATTTATCCTCAGATACCTAAAATCATAGAACAGTAATTATACTCCGTAGTCCGTAGCTATATTCACTAGTACATGACATGATCTAAGATTAGAAAATCCTCATGATCCATAGTATATGAATATGATTTATAGTATATAGTATATATATAGTATATGATCCAAGTACGACAGTTGTGTTTGCCCACCATGATATAAATTGGTATGATAATAATTTCTCCGAACAATTCTCTAACCTCTTTGCAGTCGTGTGCAATTTGCATTAGGGAAATACAATATTGTAGGTTAGTAAGAAACTATAAAAATGAAAACTAAATACTAAAATCTTAAAATCCCAAGTTCTTGTACTGTTCGTCTGTTCGACTGTTTGTGAATTGTGATATTTACTAATTTACACTACACTAAAGTTTATACAAATTCTACAAGATGGTAAGTGTACTTTTAAAATTATTAGTTTATTAAACAATAAAATATTTCATGACATGATAAATGAAAGGTCCTTTAATATGGATCAGGCTTTTATCGCCACATGAGTGCAAAATATGAGATCGTTTGATTGATTGTCTTTAATATTGGTCGATATTGTATTGAAATATAACCGAAATGCCAAAAGATCCCGTGATGGTGATTTCTGATAAAATATCAAATACCTAAAATGTTGACATTTCATTAAAGGCCGACCATTTATCAACAGTTTTCACTTACCTATGCTTTGTATAGTAATAAGTAATAACCTATTGTTAATGTTGATTATTTATTTGTTTTCCGTTTTTCCGTTTAAGAATTTGTAACTTTTTTGTTAGACATGTAACTATTCAACTATAGTATAAAATCTAAAATTTAGATGAAATTGTTTCAAAAATATTCTCTACTTCAAATTTTATATTACATGTTTAAAACTCTTAGTGTTGACTTTTTATTTTTCAAAGTTAGTTTTGTTATATTAGGTACTCTGTAGGTACATAGTCAGAGAAACCAATATATTCATCATTTAAATACCTATAGTTTATAAGTTAAGTATGTTCTTAATGAAATTACAAAATATACCATAGTTCTTGTATTTACATAATATACATTTTCACTCTTTGTTCTAGAAAGCATAAAATGTATCTTATTATTGAATGCTATTTTCTAGGATATTTTAAGTTTTGTAACTGTATTCGTTATTTTAGATAGATACTCACCTATGTTTTAAATTTTGTTTTTCTAGCGTCCTCCAATTTTATTGCTTAAAGAAGGAACTGAAGATAGCCAAGGCAAATCTCAACTATTATCCAATATCACTGCTTGTCAAGCAGTTGTTGAAGCTATTCGTACAACTTTAGGTCCACGTGGAATGGACAAGTTGATTGTTGATAGCCGAGGTACAGCAACTATTTCTAACGATGGTGCAACAATCATGAAAATATCGGACATCATCCATCCAGCAGCCAAAATTCTTGTTGATATTGCTAAATCACAGGATGCTGAAGTTGGTGATGGTACCACTAGTGTTGTCCTACTAGCAGGAGAGTTTCTTAAACAAGTGAAACCATATGTTGAAGAAGGAGTTCATCCCAGAATTATCATTAAAGCTTTGCGTAAAGGCTTAAAAATTGCACAAGACAGAATTGATCAAATTGCCTACAAAGTAATTTACTGATATTTATATACATTATACATATGTATAAATATTTGTATTATAATATTATATGAATAAAATTAATTCTATCATCATGTCATTAATACTATTATTTTTACAGATGAAATTTAATAATGATGAAGAATACCGTACTTTCCTTCAAAAGTGTGCAGCCACTGCTCTTAATTCAAAGCTTATTCATCAAGAAAAAGATTTTTTTTCAAAGATTGCCGTTGACGCAGTATTATTATTAGATGAATTATTGCCATTAAACATGATTGGTATTAAAAAAGTTCAAGGTGGTGGATTACAGGTAATTTTTTAATGTTAGCTAGTACAATTACGTTATGTTACTGTCCAATTTGTATTTAGTCTTCAATGTTGGGTAAATTACTTAAAAATATGTTAATTGTTACCTAGTTTTATTATAATAAACTAAGAATTATATCAGACAATTAATAATCTTGCATTACATAAATTAATTTTTATTTATTTATATTACTTTTCAAAATCAAAAGTTCGATTTAAATTAAGTAGTTTCTGTTTTTCAAAAAAAATCTATAAATATTGTAATTTTATGTGGCCCTCGAGTCAAATTTATAATTTGTTTAAAAATCACCAACTGAGATAGTATGGACTGGAATTTGCTGATTAAAACTTATTTTGTTTGTAGATACTTTGTTAAATTATTAAACCTGACAGTTGTAAACTTTAATAAACTAAATTTGATATGATTAGGTAAACACTTTTGTATAAAATAAGGTATATTCAAATCATAGGCGGATAGGCCATTTTTGGCCTACCGGGAAATTATTAAAAGGGCCCTCCCCAAATAAAAAAAAAATCTCGCTTCGCTTGCAGGTATATTAACCAAATTTTGGTTAATTATATTACCTACCATATCAAAAGAAAACAATGTTGAACAAAACACATTTTTAAAATCATTTATTATTTTTAATTTTAAAATAATAACAACCGTGACCTGGAGATGGTATTTTGTTTATTTAATTTAATTACTTGTAATTTGCGCCACCAATAGGTACATTTAAGCGCGTATGTAATTTGCGCCAAAGTATAAAAATTAAACATGTACTTTGCGCTTCCTCTAAGAATTCATTTTGGTAATTTGAGCCACGACGGAAAACAAAATGGAATATATAATCTGCGCTACACTTTCAATTTTAATTGTTGGAATTTACCAGCAGATAAATTTACTGACATTGCATCAAAAATATGATAATACCAAAGCGTGCCAGATATAATATTATTGATGTTGTCTACTAATAATAAATAGAGAAGAGATCAATTACGTCTAATCTAATAAAAATTATCAACTGTCAAAATATCGAACAATATTGAACAGCAGTATATCCAAGCCTGGACATAAACAGTAAAGTTATTTAACTTTAACTTACTTTTAAAATTTAATCACAAATGTACAATTATTAAGAACATAATATTATTAAATATTTTCACCATAAATAAGTTATTTTTTAATTAAAATTAATTAGGTTATTTCCTGTGTTCAATAATATTTATGATTTTCATTATTTTAAACCATATTAATGGGTAAAGATATTAAAAAAAAAATAAATAATAATAAGTTAATTGAAAATGTTCATATAACTTTTAACTTAACTGAGTTAAAAAAAATTAGGTTAACTGTTAACTTTAAGAATTAAAATATTTTTTATCAACTTAACTTCACTCAGTTCAATTTTAACCAGGCTTGAGTATATCATGATATTATTTATAGTAATCCAATATTAATCGCAAAAATATTAAAAATATATTTATTTAGTATACTTAGAGTACGTACACTTATATACATTTAATTATAATTATTATTGATTTTCTATTAAAATGAACTTGTCTATTTAGTTATTTTAAAGTGGCGCAAATTACCATTTTTGTAGGTAAACGATGGCGCAGATTACTTAATGCCCTTTTATTAAGTTTTGTGTTGCCCAAATTACATAAATATTTTTTTGGAGGGGTTGTTTTTGGCGCAAATTACATACTCTCCCGTGACCACTACCCGCTGCCAACCGGTAATTGACGTTGTAGTTGTTGGTTGTAGGTGATAAAAAATCTTTTGTAAAATACCACAGAATAGTAATAACTTATAAATTTATAGATATAAGATTATAATATAATATTTCAAATTTCTATTGTAATTGTATAATATTAATGAGTCATTGTGTTAACCATAAAAAGGGCCATTGCCGAAATACAAAGGGGGGACCCACCGGGAAACGCCTGTTTTCCCGGTAGGCCTATCCGCCCATGATTCAAATTATGGCCCTTGAAAAATTTATATTTATTTATTCAACAAAAATGTTGCCGACCCCTCCTCTCCTAGATGGTTAATTTTGTTAATTTATAAATTATTAGGTTATGATTAACGTTATAAATGTTCTAGGTATGTAAACTTTCTGTTAAAAAGGTAGAAAATTATTTTGCTTGGGAACAACTGAACATAATAAGAATAACTTAAAAATAATATAGGTTACCTTATCTTATAAAGATTAGTGTACAAACATACGGTACAAACTCTGAATAATAAATACTACAATGTTACACTTTTATTAATAATTATTAACAAAAAATAGGTAATTATTACGAAGATGTCAAGGCACTATTTATTTTTTCTCCATAACCCATGCAAAATATTATGTAATTAATTATGAAAGTATCTAGCTTATTTTAATTTATATTGAAAAAAAATTGTATGCACAGTTAATTATTGTTGTTTTAATTTATTTGTGTATGTTAACAGGATTCACAACTAATTACTGGTGTGTCGTTTAAGAAAACATTTTCATATGCTGGTTTTGAAATGCAGCCAAAACATTATAAAAGCCCAAAAATTGCATTGCTTAATATTGAGCTTGAATTAAAAGCTGAACGTTCTAATGCTGAAGTGCGAGTAAATACTGTTGAGGTAAGTTCAATTATTTATTTTACTAATATTATGAATTTAAGATTCTTTGAGTAAATTAAATTTGGGATTAAGTTAGTAGGCTAGTAAGTTTATAAAAAAATTTAATACCTTAGAAATAACCTGAATTTGGAATTTTATCTAGTACTTAAGACTTATGAGAATGCCATACCCACATATGATGTCTCCGTCTTAGAAATTACATTTTATTTAATCCTAGAGGCTAGAACACTTACTATTGGTGGATTCAATGAATACTGATTATTTTATAAGAATACTGATTAGTGATTGGTATTTTAGCATTGAAATGACTTTTTTTTTTTTTTTTTCGTTTGAACCGACAGCAGAGGAGGATCTGTGTGAACACTACTACTCCTCAAAGCATTGAAATGACTTATTTTATACTGTTCTACGATCCCCATTCCTGATAACTTCCAACCACCATCCTAACTTAAAAATAATTATTCCATATTATATATTCACTACTAACCAGTTTTCAAATTGGGAATTATTAAGTAGAGGAGCTCAATCCAACGTTATAAAAACTGTGCTCCAAGACAGTGCCAAATGATTTAATGCTGACCCATGGGGCCTTTGCGTCAGAGCCACCCCTCCCATTCTTAAATTGTTATGCTTAAAATCAAAGCAAGCGTTCTTGGATTAAACTATTAATTTTATATACTCTTGCTTAAATTCTAAAGCTATTTTAATGCTTAAAATGTTTAAAGTTAAAAAATGAATACTGTTAAAAATATTTTTGACTCTTTAACCATACAAAATATACAATTTTTGAATTAATTTACATGAGTTATATGGTTGATAGGCTTAGATGTGGTGTATTGAAACCATATGGTACATAGAGTCGAAGGGCTTAAATCAAAATTTGTGATGTGGTAATTCTTTATGGCCTATACGTTCCTTGGACAAGTCGCCTACTGCAGCACTTCATCAGAGCCATTTGGTGGTGGTGTGGTAGACCCATAGATCTTATATTATACTAATAGACTGGCTAGAGAAACAAAACCCCAATCAGCTGATCCAGTTTCGCTTCTATATTGTTCTATGGTATAATCACATCAGTGTTGATATTCTCCGTCGAGTACATGTATAATAATTGCTGTCACAAGTCACACATGAAGAGTGCTCTTTATTGATGACCGTTCTATGTGTATTAACGGCCAGTCTATTAGTATAAGGTCTGTGCGTGGACCGTATAATTTTTGTCAATTAGTAATTTATTGTTTGCATGTATATGATAACAGGAATTTCAAAAAGTTGTTGATACAGAATGGAATATTTTATACGAGAAACTTGAACATATTTATAAAAGTGGAGCTCAAGTAGTACTGTCTAAACTTCCAATTGGCGATGTAGCCACTCAATACTTTGCTGACAGGTATGTGAGATAAGTCAACTTTCCTATTTAGTGTTGCATAATTGGTTGTTTTTTTAATTATTATTTTAGAGACATGTTTTGTGCTGGTCGTGTGGTTGATGAAGATTTAAAACGTACAATGAAAGCATGCGGTGGTGTCATTGTTGCTACAACTTATGACTTAAATGATTCTGTACTTGGCAAATGTGAGTCTTTTGAAGAAAAGCAAATTGGAGGCGATAGATTCAATATATTCTCTGGATGTCCTAATGCCAAAGCATGCACTATTATTCTACGTGGTGGTGGTGAACATTTATTAGATGAAACTGAACGTTCTTTACATGACGCTATTATGATTGTCCGAAGAACTGTAAAAAATGACTCTATTGTAGCTGGTAAATACATTTTTAATTTATTAAATTCAGATTGTTTTTTATTTTATTTATTAATTTTATTTAAAATTGTAAAGGTGGAGGTGCTATTGAAATGGAATTAAGCAAAGTACTTCGTGATTACTCTAGATCAATAGCTGGAAAAGAACAATTGATTGTAGCTGCTATTGCAAAATCATTGGAAATCATTCCAAGACAATTGTGTGATAATGCTGGTTTTGATGCAACTAATATATTGAACAAATTACGCCAAAAACATGCTCAAGGGGGTGAAGCATTTGGTGTGGATATCAATCGGGAACATGTTGTAGATAATTTTGAAAACTGTGTTTGGGAACCAGTGATTATTAAAAAGAATGCTCTTGCAGCTGCTATTGAAGCCGCTTGTTTAGTTTTGTCAGTAGATCAAACTATTAAAAACCCCAAGTCGGGTGGTGGTGAAGAACAACAACAGGGACGTGGACGTGGAAGACCTATGTAACCATTTTAAGTGTATTCAAGAGTTAAATTTATAATAATTATTAATACTTTTTTTTGTATAAGTTTTGTACTTCATATGCTTACACACTGATAACTAATTTTCCTTCGTGCTTGTTTAATAAACAAATAATTTTCTATTTATATTAAACTTACACAAACATTCATATATACTATTGTTAAGTACTAAAAAAATAATAATCAATTTTTAATTTTATTATGTAGTTGTTTTAATAATTTTATTTTGGCACAAAAAAACTCCTTTTAATTTATGATATTTTTTAATTGCCTTATAATTAATTTCCTTTAATTGATGTGTTCAATTTGAATTCAATAATGAATAATAAATTGAGTACACTAAACCATTTTAAGCAAATATGTCTGCTAATTAGCCACTATGTCTATGGGTATTTTATAATTTATATATATTATCCTAGATTATAAATAGTAGTATTTATAATCAATGATTTTACTATAAGAATTTTATTTTTCTATTAGTAATTTTAGAGGTTGAACTGATTATTGCAAAAAATACTGCATATGGTTATTCTTATTACTTATTAACTTTTAAGTCCACACTGACGTATTAGGTACCTACACTCTACAGGCTACAGTAGACAGTAGAACGATGTAAAAATAAGTTCTTGCTGTGTTTTGTATATTTAGCTTTAAATTAGTGTAACTATTTAAAAATGTCATCGTGTATAGAAAATTTAAAAATAATATAGCATGTAATGAGAAGCCTGGGCATGAACGAGTTAAAAATTAAAAATTAAATTTTCATCAACAACTGATTTGTATTGATATAAACTTAATAAATGTTGAGTTACTTTTATTCAAATCCAGGTTATGTTAATTTATAAATAATTAAATAACAAATATAATACATTTATAATATTATTGATGATGCATATTGCATTTACATTTACCTTTTATTATTTTAAACCATATTACTGGCTATTTTTAATATATATTTAACAAAAAAAAAAAAATAAGTTAAAAGTTATTGTAATGTAAGTTTCCTATAACATGAATTTGGATAACTATTAAAATTAAACTTATTAAAATGTTTACTTTCAACTTAACAAAACTCAATTAAAAATTACCATAAACTTGACCAGGGTTGTGTAATGCCAAGAAGTTTCAAGTCCTCCAGATAATTTTTTTTTAAAAATAAACGGCTGCGGATAATTCATATACTATCATCATCTTAATTATCTAAGGTTGAATTTATGGTAATAGTCCATAGGCATGTGCATAACAACACCTTAAAGTTAGAGGGGGCTTCACCCCTGATTTTTTTTATGGGCAACAAAGTAATCGGGATCAGCTAGTTTATTATATAATGAATAATTAGTTTAACATAATTAAAAACAAAACAATATTAATACAAAGTTTGTAATAAATCATTTTTTGGATAAAACACACCATTTATAATGTTATTTAAATGAATTATCCAACTAGTAAATTATACTCAAGATAATACCTACAGTGTGTGAGGACTGTGATTCTTGATATTTTAGATTCAGAGCACACCAATACCAATTTTGGACAAATACGATATTGTTTTCTTGGCGTAACTTAAAAATGATTGACCTTCGATCCTTTAAATTCCCCCCAGATGTTAATATTAGTATTTTCTATACTTGATACATTTTTACGCTTTTAAAGCTTTAAAGCCATGAAATATTATCAATTTTTTTAAGTCATTTTTCAATTATTGTCAATAAATAATTTTTCGCTCAATCCAAAGACTTGAAATTGTGATGAGAAAGTCCTTATAAGGTGCTTAAAGTGTAATTAAAAAAAAAGGTGGGTAAGTGGATGTCGCTCTGCTGTACAGTAGGTTACAAGTGGGTCACTGTATAATGGATGCTATTAAATTTGAATTCAATGATACATATCTATCATTGTATAAGAAAAACGATTCTGAGCGAAGACGGTATGTCAGTCTAGGTTTAAGACAAATTATATACATATCTATGGTATTAAAAAAAAAATTGACCTGTAATAAATTCCAAATTAATCATATCACATTATCACCATATCCATTAGGTACTTATAACACGTTATACATCAACATCAATTATAAACCCTAATACTATCATAGATATATAATATAGTACACTTTAGAAGTTTCAAGTAGGTACCCACGAATAATATTATATAATCACAACAAAATAACTAGGTTTTTTAATATGTGATTTCGTCCAAATTTGAACATAAAATGACTATAAAAATAAACTGTGATTGTATATTTTTTAGATTTTTCGGTAAGAAGTAAAAATTGAAAAATGAAAATATCCGTAAACAGCTCAAAAAGAGTCAAAATATTTTCAAAATTGTATGGTCTATAGGAAATGCTAATATAAACATTCAGTGAAATTTTCATGTATCTATAGTTATTCGTTTATGAATAACAACAAAATAAGGAAATCGCTACATGAGAAATCGAGTGAACATCCAATGTTGTAAAAATTTGAATTTCAAACGGTCATAAAAATTTAATTTGACTGTCCGGTAGAGATTTTTTTATTGATAAAGGTAGACGAACTTATGAGTAATCTTGTATTACATTTTCAAATCTTAGATTTAAAAAGAAAAATTTTTACGAATTCTTAACTCAAAATTATTTGCTAATTTTCGTGATTTTACCATATTTTGTCAATTTTTGAACTTTAAATGCTTATAAAAAAAAACTGTGACTAACGATTTTTAATATTTTTCATCTGCCTTTGAAAAAATATACTAGGAGCCTTGTATTAAATTTTCAAGTATTTCTACTCAACAAACAAAGTTTAATTGATATTTTTAGAAAAAAAACTAAAAAAAAATGGAAAATGAAAATGTCTCTAAACAGTTCAAAATAAATCAAAATATTTTGAAAATGTTATCGTGTATAGAAAAGGCAAATATAAACAACCAGTCAAAATTTCATGTTCCTACAGTAATTTGTTTTAAAGTTACACCAAAAACCAAATTAGATTTTGTCAAAAACCGATTTTGATTAAAAATTCCCGTTTTTCCTTAATTTTTATGTTGTTTTTCCCGGCGCTTGTGGAAACTATTGTGAATTTTAAACTTTGACCTCCCCAATGCACCAACGATATTCACTTTCCAATCGAACAAGATACTGAAGTCGAAAATCAAAGCATTATTTCGACTACTTATCTTGTACACAGACACAAAAAAAAAACACACATCATTGTAAAATCAATACATTCATCGTTTCACTCAGAATCTAAAAAGTTGAGTTTAAATCAACACTAAAATTGTATGATTGGCTGAAGTTAGAATTTCGACGGAATTCGTCCAAATCAAGCTAAAGTTTAAATTATTTTTCAGTTAAGGAAGAAGAAACTTGGACGAAAGTAACATAAATGTTGTTTTAATAAAACTGTTTTCAACCCCTTTCCCAGTTAAAACTAACAATTTTTAAACTTTTTTTGACAAAATTGTTACTCGACGGTGCCTTAAACTATCTAGCTTAGTTTTGATTTTCACTCGGAAATCCTTCCACCACAAAATTCTAAAAAATGAGAATTTGTAATAAAAAATAACCATCAATAGGTATGTCACCCTAAGTTTGCCTAATTTTTTTTTCTATCAATGTAAAAACCACCATTTAAATAAATAATATAGTGGAGATTAAGGCGTAAAAATAAGCTCTTTCCTTTTAAAAATCAAAGTTACATACACGTCTTAAAAAACTGTTATTTTGAATTTCTTAATAATTTTCTATTATATATATTTTTATCCTTTAAAAAAATGTTTGTTTAAATTAGAAATATATATAATATTGTAAAAATCAATATTTGTTAAAAAAAAAAATTATATAAATTATATTTTGATAGCGCTATAAAATTAACAAAAATATGTGACCCTCTAGCCTCTGATTGAATTTTGGTAATTTGTATTTTTTAATAAAATGTATTGTTTGTAGGTGGGTGGGTTCTCAGAATTATCCTCAGCATTATATATTTATTTGAGGATATAGCTTCCACTGCCCGTTATTATAATTTTTGCAATAATGTTACTAACATTTAATTGTAGTTACGCTCATGCCAATATGCCATATACTATAATAATGTCTATGCAGTGGCGGATACGAGGGATGGGCGAAGGGGCATCCCCCCATTGATCTGTCTTTTTAACTTTATTTTCTATTATAATATTTGATTAAACAAAAAGACAATTTAATTTTTGAAAATTCGCCCCCCCCTTGGGAGACTGTTGGATCCACTACTGGCCACTGGGTCTATGTATTATTATCATTTATCACTTTTAATAAACAAACTATTCTTATTATGTACCCATAAGGCTATAACTATATGTACGGCTGTATCTATCTATACATATGATCGAAAATCAAGTGAAACCTTAAATAACAGAATCGGGTTTCATCATATTTAATTTGTTTTTAACACTTCTCATTGATGTTAAAAAATTATTTTTATCATGTTAATATTAGGTGAGAGTAAGAGTTAACAGAATACTCAGTAAACGATTAAAATTAATATGATTTAATAATCACAATTATAACTTTTTATATTTATAAGTACAAATTGCTTGAAATTAAACATCATCTACATTACACAAGAGTTAACAAATACTATGAGCAAATCTATATTATGTGTAGGTACACCATTTTGTATTGTTTCATCAATATAATATAATAACATTACGGATATCATTATTATTATTAGATATTTTTCGGCCTTTAAAATTATGTTGGCCTATAAAATCGCACATTACGATTTGTCATAGAAATTACAAACAAATAAACATCAACTGTATAAATAAAATAAACAAATTTTGTATAACATAAAAACAAAAAAACTTAACGAAACATTATGTAATCTAATGATATAAACAATTTTAAGAATATTAGCATATTATGACATTTATATATAAAAAAAAAAAAAAACATCGAGAAAAAGTCATAAAACTATACGAAACCATTAGTAACAAATAACAAAACGTGTGATAAAATTGTTTATTAAT